GGCGCTGCCACCGCCGCTGCCGCTGCTGACGACGAGCGGCCCAGCCCTGCTCGCCATGTTTTGGATTCTTTGCTCGATGAGGAGGCGCTTCTTGCGGGGCATGTACGGGATTTGGATCAGTACGACGATTGGTCTAGAGTGGATCAACGACCCACGCCGCTAGACCTCCTGCATCCCCACCGTGCCTTCACACCGCCTGTGGTGCCGGCGAGCAAGTCGCTGGGGGTCTCAATTGAAACCGGGCGCGGCGTTGGGCGAGGTGGCAGTGGCGGAAGCGGCGCCGCCGCCCCAGCTTCCGCCACTGAACCGCAGGTCTTGCGGGTGAGTGCGACGGCGGCGCCGCCGACGGCGGCGGCGATGGCGGCGGAAGCGGCAGGACGTGGTTTCGCTAGGGGCCAGGGTGTTGTGGTGGCACGCGGTGGCGAGGCGATGCTTGACTTGGTGTACGACCCCGTACTTAACTGTTATTACGACGGCGCGACGGGGCAATACTATGAATTGAAGACATAGCCGGAGCTGTCTGTGTTTCGTGTGTTTCGGGCGCCATTTCGGGCGGGACATCTTCCTTGGTGGCTATACTGCAGTGACACTGGGCTTTGTTGAAATCAGCTCTGGGATCTGTTTCTGTAGCTTGTTTGAGTAGTCTGTAGCGGCTACTGTTCCTGTTTTGCTGCCGTACTGCCGTACTTGCTGTCGGCGACGACGATGTCCTGGTCCGCCGGCAGCGGCGGTGGGGACGGAGGCGGAGGCGGCAAGATCACCATCGCGTCGGTTTGACTTTTTGACTTGTGTTAGGGTTTGTTCGGAGGATGGAGGAGGGGGAGCAGAGGAGATGCGTAGGTTGCTTGGAGATCATTACGATGGTGTGCGGTGGGCAGGGGGAGCTCCAGTAGCCGGGAAAGGTCTTAAAACTTGAACGAAGTTGCCGTTGTTTATCGATGCAGTGAACTGTTGCCGTACGGTTCTCGCACGCTGGACTTTATGAAGGTTTACAGAGGCACATACGGACGGACGTACGCACGCGCGCGCTTTTGCTGGTATTGACATGGTGGGGATCTTGCACTTCCGTATGGGCATGTACACACATACAGAGTTACAGACTGAACCTGATTTGCTAGTCGCGAGCCACACAGGCAGGCAGGCGCTCCTGGGCTCCTGGTGCGTCGTCGTGGCCGGAGGGGGCAAATACTTGACCATAATGCCGTACTTCCATAAGATCGTAGTGCCGTACTGTTGTGGCCATGATGGCCACTACGAAACACGCACACGTACTTATATACATACAGATACACTCGCGGGCATGGGGGCATACCTGGCGAGTTTCTTTCAGCGAACAAACTCAATCACAAAAAACATAGACACGTTTTTGTGTCGGCACTCTTCCCTACATTGCCCCTTCACTCTTGGTCGTTGTAAATTAGTTAACAGAGTTTGCGGCGTCACGTGTGGTGGTACGACACGCGAAACACAGCCATCGTTGTGAGCACATGTACATCCGTATGTTCTCACACGCATAAAATACATACATTTCTACATACATATACACATAAATACACACATACATACATACGCACGCACGCACATTCATCAGTTTACACCCAGAGTCACGCAAAGCCTCCCAAAACTCCTCCAGGTAATGGTGTGCTCCTGCAGCCACCAGGCATCAGAAGCATCACGTTACCGTCACAACCAACGACAATTTACCGTTGGCGGTAAGAAAGATTGAACTCAAATTCACAAAAGCTCTCTTGCTTGCCTCTATCCAGTCGTCCAGTCCCAGGTATCTCCCGGTGTGCAAGGCACGTGTCAAAGCAGACTGGAGTGGGGGGGAGGGAAAAGGGCAGAGCATTATTGGCTTTCCCCCCTCTTCAAATTTCAGGTCTATTAGGGCGCATTAGGGGGGGGCCGTGGTGTGTCTCCCGCGCGTACCCAGTCTCATGTGTTCCCTTCAAGAGATTAAATATACTACAGGTGTGACATACACATACACAAATCCGCCTGCCGACCTCTCGGGTGTTTGAGAGGTGGTGAAATGGGAGGTGGCCCCCCATCTTGTGGACGGTGTAGGACATGATAAACTCAACTTGCGAGCTGACCAGGAACTGAGTTGACGCGCCGTTGATCCGCTAGATTTGGTTGGATGCTGGTGGTGAGTTGCCAAACTCAAAGAGTACACTCTGAAGTCGGATGGGGTGAATGGATTAGGGTGCCCCTCTAGCAGGGGAGAGCAGGGAACTGCCTCCAAGGGAAAGGGGGCCGCTGGTGAAGCTTAACCACCCTGTAACAACATCAACAAATACACTTATGCATACACACACACTCTACAGCCGAACACACAACCCACCTCCGCTTCATGAATGGCTGAGATCAAGAACTCCTCCATATCGAGCGCAAGGACGTACTGCAATCTATAAACGAACTGGGCGAGCACTAAGCTATGTGTTTTGTGGACGCTACGTGGCTGGGATGGTCATGCCTGGGCTCTGTGCTGGGCTCTGTGCTGTGCGGCGCGATGGCGGCAACGGTGGCGCCAGCAGCGGGTACTTTGAGTTGTGGGGTGGTAGATGTCCGTGTAGGGATGACGTGGACATGTTTGGCGTGTACGGCGGCATGATGCGCAAGGCGACGGGTGAGGCTCGTGCGGGGAGGGAGGGATTGGGTTGGGGGGACCCTCCTTTGCGCTCTGCAGCTGCGGCGGCTACCGCGGCTTCAAGCTGTTACTGCTGCAGGGAGGTGCAGCAGGAAGTTACCTGCCTGCCTTGCCTACCTGAGTGGGTGGCGGATGCTAACACCGAATGTCAACAGATAACCGGGCTGACCGCTGACAACACAGCCATTGTATTCGCTGCCATGTCTTCTAAGGGCGACGGTCTGCTGGCTGGATTGCCTGGCCAGGTTATGGCGGCAAGCGTGCGTGTTGTACGTTTGCAAACATCCAGACCAGCTGCGTGTCCCTCAGGACTGCGAGCTGTACGCATCCTCGATGAGAATATCGAAGGACCTAGCCCCGAGGGGAAGCGGGCAGCGGCGTGATAGACAGATCCTTTGTTAATTAAAAATGTGTTACACGTTGCCCTGCAGATTGCAGGACTGAAAATTGCATGAAAAAAAGCGACGTACGTCGACTGGGACCTACAGCACCCAACGACTGACTACGAGTTCCGTGAGCGGTGTACAGCATCATGCAACATTATTCTCAGAAACCTGCGGCTAGAAGAATGCCAAAATGCTAAAATGAAAAAAGGTTCGCACTTAAATATCGTACAGCGAGTCCACTGGGATTGCAACTGGAGGTCATGACATGCGGGGCCGCCGCGCCCGCGCCGCGGATTGTGGCCCCCCGCATGCTGCCTGCCTGCTCATCGATGTGGGCACCCTCTCCTTTTCGCGTTCCCTGCCAGCACTAGCACTTCCACCAGCACCAGCACTGCCACCAGCACCAAGATCATCTCTTCTTCGGGGTAACCCTCCTGAGCGCTGATTAGCTGAATGCACATCACGCAAAGAAGGGACCCAGGCTGAACAATGCAGAATAGGCCCGGCCCCCGACAGCGCATTCCCAGCCGGTAACTTCTCCGTCAGTGCCGCTTCGTAATACAATACACTAAAAACGCGGCACGCCTAGGAACAGGCACCAGTAGCGGCTGCAGTCCACATGCAGCAGCCAAGGACAACAAAAGAAGACCACGAAAAGCCGCCGGGCAATCTGCACCGGCAGCGGGGACGACGACCACCGCGGCGATGACGAAAACCTGCACCGCTATCGTCTCTGGCTCGCCGTCCCTCCGCAGAGCTCCGTCCTCTCCCATCCTCTCCAGCTCCTTTGTTGCTACTTGCCGTGAGTCTGTTGGGAAGAACGCTCCCTACAGGCTGCGTCCACCGTTGGCTACGTGCCTCTTTCGCTTCGGCCCTGGCCTTGTTCTGGTCATCTCAGCATCGACTTCTCATAAAATTAAGCACATCCTCCTCACCCCGCGCATCCAATCCTATGATGGAGAGCACGGGTTGCACACGCAACAATGTAAGCAACACATACACTCATCATCACCCACATCTGAGCTTATACGTTTGAACGGCAAGCAAACCCCAGAGTCAACCCTTCAACATCTACAGCAGCCCGTCAGATGACCCGCTCCGAGGGTACGGGGGAAAAGGTGGAAAGGAGAAGCTCACATGTGCACACTCCTACACTGCCAAGCGCAATAGTATTGTATCGGGAGTTGCCCAGGGCGGGCTAGCTAGATAGGACCTTGGGGAGTAAGGAGGGGGCCTGACATCGGGTTGCAGTCGGTTGTCAAGAGCCTCGCGACTCAAACCTATCCATGCCAATCCATGCCAATCTCCCAACCTTCATGCGTGTGTATACACACCGCCACCGCAACACCACACGCACATCCCGGATGTCAGTCTCGCGTCTTCATCTCCTCTCTTCAGTTCTGCCAACAGAAACATCAGCAAATTTTCTCGCCGATAACTCCCGCGGTGGTCGTTTTGGGGTCCCCAAGATAGCTCTCACGGCTTCGCGAGACCCAAGTAAACTCCACAATACCATCCAGACACCATCTCCAAGCATCCTTTCGAATAAAATTATTACCTTTACTCACTATACGGCACACAACTGGATGTATCCTCCCAACCAACCAACGTCCAACCAATTACCCGCGCTCATGTCCCCAGCTCGCCGTGGCCTTCTTTCCTCGCCTGTCCTCTTGTCCTAGGGTTTTCTCTTTCCCCACTGCTCGTAGTCTCTCACTCTCACCAATTCTCTCCTCTCCTCTCCTCTCTTAAACCCATTCAACCCACACCAACAACTAGGCATTTTGCCCCACCTCCACTTTGAGCCCCCACCATTGTTCCTCGCCCCCTCCTCCTTCATCTCCTGCTCCCACCCCCACGCATTCATCCTGCTCACTTCCCCCCTTTCCCATTCCCTCCCTCCCCACCGCAACACCACCAAACCCACCACCTCCCGGCTTCCTTCGAAGATTCAGATGTCCTCGTTATCGGGTGTTAGCAGCGCCAGCCGCCACGCCCGCGGCCCCAGTACTGCCACCCCCACTGCTAGCAGTAGCAGCGCTATTGGCCGTCGTCGTCGTCAGCTTGCTCAGACGGGCCCAATCTGCCCGCCAGCCCCTACCCGCCTGGTTGTCGGGGGGTGGCGGCACAGCCACGTGCTGTACGGCATCCATACCCCTGGTGTGGGGAGGCAGCGGGCCGCCGCGGCCAGCCTGCCAGCATTGCGGGCGGTACGTAGGTAGGTAGGTAGGCACGTAACGTAGGTAGTTGTGTAGATAGGTTGGTAAGTACGTGGGTAGGTAGGTGGGTAGGTAGGTGGGTAGGTAGGTGGGTAGGTAGGTAGGTAGGTAGGTGGGGAGGTAGGTGGGGAGGTAGGTGGGGAGGTAGGTGGGGAGGTAGGTGGGGAGGGAGAACGGGAAGCAAGGTACGGAGTGCGGTGGAATAACTGACAAAAAATGTAACCAATGTGTGTGTATGTGTGTGTTACACCAAGATAAGCCTGTCTAAGAGTCCCCGACGATACACCCCCCTCCGGGCGCTTGTCAGATCCCCTCAGCTCATCATCTGATGCGTGAGTCCGCGACCTGCTTTGCGGCTGGCTTTACCCCATTCCCATCCCGCTTTACTTCCTGATCACACACACACACACATATATACGCACACACACGCGTGCACTCACCTGCAGCTCATCAAGCAGTCGCTGCTGTTCCGTAATGGTCTGTTGGGCGGTGTTGTACTTGGAGATCAGGTTCTTAATCTCGGAGGACAGACCGTCGATCTGCGGATGGATAGATGCACACACACAAACCTACTTGCGAACGTACCCTCACGGACTCCGTTTCATTAAGCAGTCCAGGCCGCAATGCTTACTAACAGGAATTTACCAAGCTTAGGCCACTGCGCACTCGTGGTAAAATCAATTGTGCAGAATGTACAGACGCAGCCAGAGGCACACACACACATACACCCCTATAGGGCCTATCCGATAGCTCTGCTACTGAGCGTATTTTAAGGATGCATCTCGCTACGCCCCCTCCACCTCTTCCCCCTCTCACCTGTTGCATCCTCAGCTTCTCACTGGCTTCGATCTGTTGAGCTTGCTCCTGCAGCTGCTGCCTAGCCGCGATGTACTCATTCACAAGCTGGGGAGGCGGGTAGGAGCGGCAATAACATCAGCAAAAGCACCAGCGTAAGCAGCGTAATAACGGCACTAGGACGGTGCAGCCAAATTCCCCACACCTATTGATGAAGATGATATCATATTGAGAGGAAGCAGCGCAACATTTTGAACAGCCAATTCTTCATCGACTGTTCCTAAGCCCACGCGCCCTCGGGATATCCCCCCGCCCACTCAACTCGCCCCACTCCCCGCCCCTCCCACCCGTACCACTTCTCTTCTCACCACGCCCTCCCCATCACCCCCCGACACAAACCAGTCATACCTGCGACAGCTCTGTTCTCAACCTGGCCACATCCTTCTGCACAATCTCCCGCAACGTCTGGACCATCTCCTGGGCCTCAGCCTCCTTACTCAGGCTGGCTTCCAGCTTCTGCTGCAGGGATGTCACTTCAGCGCTGTAAACGCCTTTGACATCATCAAGCTGCAGTTTTAGTTCGGCCATGCGCGCCTCGTAGCGCTTGGAGACACGCGCCTCGACCTCCGCAACGTTGACGCTGCTGGCCTTGGCGGCAGCGGCTGCGGCGGTGGCGGCCTCCGCTGCGGCGGCCTTGGCCTGGCGCTTGGTTTCCGTCAGCTCGGTGGCCATTGCGCTGTGCTTGGACTGCAGGGTTTGGGGGTGTGGATGCATCGTAGTGTGAGCGAGAGAGGAAAGGACTTGTGAGTGCACAGAGTTTGGGGGCTGTGTGGGGGGGTCGAGATAGCGGAACGCAGGGGTCGGGGTGTGTGGGCAGTGTGGTTGTTGTGCGCGATTGTGTCAGGGTTGTGAATGACTCTCTCCGTCCAGAACCCAGACCGTGTTTTCTGCAGGTCTTGGTGTGTGAGTGTACGTATGCATGTATGTACGCATGAATATGTGAGATAAGGGGGATTAGCTTTACCCCTGGGCACTAGCAAGCCTGGCAGTGCTTACCTTCCCCGTTGTTCGGGGGCCCACCCGCGTCCAGTAAACATTGTGCCAATTGCTTCCTAACCAGTGCTCTTCACCGGCTCAGAACCCACCACTGGCATTCAGTGGAATCTGCCCCCCCGGATCAACGGCTTCGAAAAGTCCACTCCTGGTCGGTCGGCTCGCAGGTCACCATGTTTCGGTCCTCCGCCCCTCGTCCATCGATATGGAGGCATATCCACCCTCTAAAAACGGTCGAGGAAGCTTTATGCCGCACACTGTCGGGATCGATCCTGTAACTTCCAGGGACAAAATGCCCCGCATGAATAAAAAATAGACACCACGCGTCCGCACACGTTCGAAAATCCCTTCCTCATACCTGCAGCTCAGCTAGCTGTTCAGCACTCTGCCGTGCAACCCTCTCAGAGCTCGCCAGGTCCTGATGGGCAGGTGGAAGCACGTGTGCCCATAAGGGGGGGGGAAACTTCGGTTTCATGTGTGTATATTGGGGGTATATAACCTTCGGTTTCAGACGGTATATCCCATCGGATATCTACACCCGGCGCGGCACCTTCCCACCGCAGGAAGGAAGCGGTGGCAAGGCACCGCTTCCTTCCTGCGGTGCCTCCCTTCAGAGCACCTAGACCTCCGAGCACGGCACAATAGACGTTGGTGCCCGCCGCCCTCACACACATCGTTGCTCGTGCCCTCCGCTGTCCTCCTCACCCTCAAAAATCTACCCCGCTTCACTCACGGGGATTGACAGCCTGCTTTTCATAGTAATAATCTATTTCAGCAACGTCGATAAAAACCCTCCCTGCGACAGACTTAGTTCCCTCAGATCCCTCCCATCTTAACCTAAAATTTACACACGAGGCAGGCTCGACACGACTATTCAGTTCCCAAGCGCCCTGCCCGGGCCTCGCCCCCCCGCCCCACGACACGCACCTGCGCCATTCGCTGCAGCTTCTCCTGGCTAGTGGCTGCCGCATTGCGTGCCGTACGGAGCTCCGAAAGCGCTCCTGCTAGTCGCTGTTCCAGGACCTACGAATGACACCAAAATCCAGGGTAAATCTGGGTCACGCCGTACAGATGAGGAGGAGAGTCTCCTAAAACGGGTTTAGGGCCAACAAGTGGGCGGGTTAACGCACTGCGCCCGAAGCGCAGGGTCCACTTCGTTATGCGGTTGAAGAAGAGGGCAAGAAGCAAGAAACAATGCAGGGGGCAAAACTAAAAAAATAAGAAGAAATCAGAAACAAAAAAAGTGGCGCATATGAACACATACAATCGTTCCCCACTCCACATTCCCGGCTTCCCTACCCCTTATGCACGTCATCTCCGTCACCGTCCTCCGCTACACACCGCACACCAGGTTTGCACCGGGACTGCACACGCTTCTCCTCCCAAATCAAAGCCTACGTACCGACCATCGCTAAGCCATGAACCCCCAAAGGCAGTGCACTCTTGTCCCTGTCCTCCTCCTCCCCCTCCTCCTTCCTTCTTGTCCGCCTCCTCCCCTCCTATTGCCCATTTTGAACCGTCCTCCCCATCCCCACCGCGACCCCTCTCCCCGCTTCCTGAACAGGAGACCCAAGTGAGAGATAGCCTTCACTCACCAAAACCTCTCCAGGCACTTCCCGAGCCAACACCGACGTCCCGTCTGTATGCCCCCAATGGCAAATCACCACGTATTCATGCGGCGGCACTGAACCAGTCGTTGCCGCCGCCGCTGCTGCCGTACTACCACCTGCCTTCCCGCCGCTGCCCTTCAACCCACCAGAGCTGCCGTTAGCGTTACTGCTACTAGACGGCGACTGCTGCTGCTGCGCCGGCGGCGGCTGCAGTACGATGTTCCTGTCCTGTCCCGGCTCCCATGTTAGCGGCGCGTGTTGGCCCTGGCCGTGCACCATGACCAATTTGGCCTTTAGGGATTGCCAGTCCGCGGGAAGAGTAATGGTGGCGGTGTGCATGTGGCCGGAGCACCAGTGCAGTCGTACACCACGTTCCACATCCCAGGAACCCAGCGCCTCGCAATCGCCCACCACCGTCAGGTACTCGCCCGGTACGGTGGTGCAGCGAGGTACCACCAGGTGCACCCGTACGGTCGGCGCGCTGGCTGCAGCGACGATGTCGTACAGGTCGTTGCTAGCGCTTGGGCCGCTACCGTCAGATTTGGCGGTGCCGTTTGAGCCGTTGGATGCAGAATGGTGATTACCGTTACCGTTGCCATTACGGTTAGTGGCGGAGGCGTGGTTATGGTTGGATTGATGACTTGAGTGCTTGGAGGAGGAATTGCTGTTGCTGGCTGTGGCGACCGAGGTATTGATGGAGGTGGAGACAGCGGAGGCGGGCGGCAGGAGGCGGAGAGCGCGGGCAAGGGAGGTGGAGGCTGAGCGATGGGGAGCAGGGAGGGCGGAGGCGGGATGCGGCGGTGACGGGGAGCCCGCCGCTACGGCGGCGGAGGCGGTGGTGCCACTAGGGGCCTTGCGGCCGCCGCGCCCCGCGCCGACGGGCGAGTGGCGATAGCTACTGCGCAATGTGGGAAGTGGGCCGGGATATGTTTTCAGTCCAGGAGGTTTTTAGACAGCGGAACAGTGGGGTTGGTAGTTGGGGAAGAGGGAAGCGCAGTCAAGAGGGGTGGGCTGGAAGTCGGATTGTGGCAGCAGGGTTGGTAGCTGCTAGGTAAAGAGCGCACCGCATACAGTCTCCGTGGATTTCAGAAAGAGATTTCCCGCCTAAAAATAATTGAACGGAGAGGTGGTTTCGCAAGTGCAATATCATCGTCGGCAGTAGTCAGCATTAGCATTAGCAGCAGCAGCAGCAAGCAGGAACACTAACAACGCAGGTCGCAGTAGCAACAGCAGCAACAACAGCGGCAGCAGCAGCAGTAGCAGTAGCAGCAGCAGCAGTAACAAAGGGTGGAGGAACCTGTCTCCTCATGCCTCCTCCTTCCTCGTCAACCACCACACACAGGTACGACATCCCAAAAACTTATGAACGAGCCATTTGGCGACAGCTATGTCCCTGGGGCTATCACTCCGCCAATGGCTATCACTTTAACAACGAGGAATACCTGGAGGACACGTAAGATGTGCTCGGTAACGAAAAAAATTTGCGACCAGGCACAAATATGTGTTCCGCTAAAAGGGTACGCAGCGTTCTAAGCTTATGCTGTGGGACTACGACTTGTGCTCGACAGATTAGCGAGAGCTGGCGTAATTTTGGCGAACGAGGCAACGCACTCGGCTGGCCTGCTCTCCTTGAGTTTCCCAGGCACATTCCACAACATGGCGACACCCGTTAATTAGGAAATCACTCGCCTGCGAACCTTTGCTTCCAGCATCTGCCGAGCTTCGCTTGGTCTCTGCCGTTGGACAAAGAACTTGCCGTTGGTTTACCAGGGGCGAAGTATTGAATGACCAGGCACAGATAAGCTCCCTGATTTGTGTGCTTCTGTGATTTCTTTAGCGTTGTTGCAAGTATTCGACGTCTGTGTATTAGGTTAGCACGCAATAGATAACACAACAGCGTCAAGGCCCAAACTGTACATGTTGCATTCTGCAATTCATGCAATATTCTACTTATGTGATAGAATTCAAGTATTACTTACGAACACACGAAGAGTCCAAGCCCAAAGCCCACGACCGACGAGCGACGATGCAAGCCTTGCCGACGGCTCGCAAATGACCACCCAGCAATCACGTAAACAATGAACTAGCCTCTTGTGTAAAATATAATACCAACGTGCTGGTTACCAAATCCGTCGATTCGGTAGTAGGTTGAGCCACGAGTAACCTCAACACCCAGGTCGATCCAAAACTATCAATGAGTGTAATGCTTAAGCGATGACCCGGCTATGCTAGGCAATTTGGTAATTGGCTGCAGGATAAGTTGGCTGTGCATCATCGTACATAGCCAGGCGGTTGGAGGTCTTTGATGGCATCGCATTGAATGCCAGCGAGTTACCTCATAATATTTGTACCTAATTACTGGAATGATAATGTATGGCTCTTTGCACTTCCTGTAGAGTTCTAGTATTGGTACCATAGCCTTGACCTCAAAGCAAGCACATTCCATCGGAGACGATAGCAGCAGGCGCGCTGAGAACTTTATCGCGTTATTATTACTTTCAGCGAGTGATTTGCTGCAGTTTTTCAGTGGGGTCTCGCTCGAGCATCCATCTCCAGCAGGGTAAAGACAAGTAGCCGCGCTGGTCGGCGGCCTGTAATGCAGACCACATGAATCGCCGATATAAGTTTCGGAAGTGTGCCCGTACTGTTCCTTTAACAGGTGGCGTTGAACGTTGACTTATCTTGAACAGCTTTGCGAGGATTCCATGTTGCATAAAGGCATCAGGTACGTGGGGAGGGAACTGTATAATTTTAGAGAAGCTGTTATTGTCAGAAGTAAGCAAGATCTGCGCAACGATGCCGCACAGGTTGCCCTCCTGCGCTAGGGCGCATAGCTCGTGCGCAACACCTCGGCCGAGCGCGCCGCGGAAGAGCACAGGTAAGGAAGGACCTTGCCACCATCATCTGACGAAGTTCAGTCATTCATAAATTTCCCGATCTACCCTTCCCTTCTGGACGTTATGTCTGACTTTCGGTTATGCTCCCGCCATCGTCCATGCAAGGCGTCCCGGGGCCCGCGCAAACTTCACCTGCTTCGCGGGCTCAGCGTCCAACAGCTTCAGCACCGGTAAGAACGAACCTTCTTCACGTCACCATATTCGCCATATGCTCCGGGGCGTTGAATAAATAAAAAACCGTGAACCGCTGCTCTGGGTCTGGTCTGAAGATCATATGCAGGCAGGGTTTTACTTGCTCAGGAAGGAAGAAATACCTCGAAACGGCTTTGCATTCCGCCTCTGATACCACAGGCCGCCGCCCTCGCATTCGAGCCTTCCGCTCCATCGCACAATGAAGACGCTGTGCCTCAGGGCTTCCGTGATGGCATCGGGTCGCTTCGGTTGACGGCGGAGGCGGAGAATGCAGCAGCTGCTGCTGCCATGGTAACCACCAGGTGCGGTGCCACGCACATGTACGACACAATCGCCGTAACGTACAGGATGTCGACCCGGTGTATGGGTCGCACGTTTTCGTGGGCTTCGACGAGTTCACCGTTCCGCGACTTGTTTGACACAGCCGATTGCTGCCCTACACCTACTGCCTGAGCGCGTCTTGCTTCCCGGCTGATCGGTGTCTGCATCACGTCAGTGTGTTTTTGGCGTTTTAGATTGTTGTTTTTCTTTCCTGCGGTATGCGACTTCCTGGATTACTTGACGATCTATCCAAGGAGTGTAGTGTAAACCCCGTCCCCCGGGCGGCTCTTTTGCCCCGCTGTTATGAGAGCCCCTTCGCCCGGTCAAACCCGACCCATCCCGCAGTCATCCTGAACCTCACGCCCTCGACAATCCCCCAGATTCGTCGTCCCCCACTTCGTCACCAAGCCCGGTCAGCAGCTCTTCCTCAGCGGCTCCAGTCGGGAGCTGGGCGAGTGGGACCCGCAGCTGGCGCTGCCCCTGGAGTGGAGGGAGGGACACCAGCATGAGGCCCTGGTACGACTGCCTACCAGCAGGGTCGTACAGATCAAGGTAGGGAGTATGGGAGTGGGGAAGGAAAAGGACAAACTAGCCCAATTGGGACACGAAATTGAAAAGATTTGGGACCGGGGGAGCGGCGAAGAAGGCGGCTCTTACGGGGTGGGATGGTTGCGGGAAGCGTACGGAAGTCATTGGACTTGGGAGCCGGAAGGCCGGCTAGCTCGCCAGACATTGTGAGCACGTGGCACAAAAGTGGGGAAACCGGCGGGAAGGGGTTTCGCTGGCCGGGGATGCAGTTGGGACTGTGTGGGTTTTGGACGTTTTAGGATTTTCTTGTGTTAGTTCCTAAACAGTGACGATCTAATAAACCCATACAGCCTATACAGTGACGATTTGATAGCCCTAATAGCCCCTTTCAATGGGGCTTAGGGAGTTATGGGATTAGGTTGGGTCGGGGTGGATGTGGCGACGGAATTGGCGCCGGGTTACCGGTCACTATGAGACGGCGATTTGGAGAGATTGGGGAGGTCTAGAATGCGGCGAAATGGGCCCCCTGCTGCTGCGACGCACGACCATCAGCCAGGGGTCCGGAAGGAAGGGTCGGCGAGGAGGCGCCCTCCCTGGCTGGTCTCCCTGTCATTCCTGTGCTCCCGCCTCCTCCCGATTGGCGGACATCTCGTCCCTTCCATCGTCCCAAGCGCCCTTTTCCACGCCCACTGAACGACCCCCTCGCAGCTGCTTCTCAAGGAGAACGGCCGGCCTGTTCTCAGCGAGGAAGGTGACCCACGGGACGTTATGCTCATGCCCCGAGTACTGGTTAACCAGGATCAGGAGGGAAAACAGCCGCAGCTGCAGCAGCAGGCTGGTGATGTGGGAGCGGTGGATGTCCAGGAGGCGTTGGCGGGTGCGGCCGCGGAGGTCCCGGCCGCGGCCGCCGCTGCCAGCCCCCTCGTAAGCTCTGTGGGAGTAGTGGACTATCAGGTGATGTGCCATTTTGGAGTTACGGAGGCGACGCAGATTCTGCGCCTGCCGGTGGTGTTGCCGCCCAAGGAATCCGGTGAGCGTTATGGTGGGGTTGGATGAGGGGTGGGGGAGGTCCTGGCTCTCCGGGCCTGCATAGGTTTAAGGAGTAATTAATGAACTGAAGAAACGAATAGAAAGTGACAATCATGATGGCGCAAGTTATTGATTGCTGGTGCTAGGTAGGTACCTGGTGCTTGTTAGATGTATATGCCTTACACCTTGGGTTACAAAGCTGCGCTTGCATATGTTCCTTCTGTGCACCCAGGTGATCGCCGCGTGTTGTGCAAGTTCGTGGTGATGCTAGATAACCTCAAACTGGAGCCCCGTCAGCACCCCGTGGTGGTTGGCAGTTGTGACGAGCTGGGGTCCTGGAAGGTTGAGGGGGGAGTCAAGCTGATGCGCCAGGTGTGAGCGTTGGGGCAGTCGGGGAAGGAGGGGAAGGAGGGGCAGCGGTTGGGGGATATACACAGGGAACGCGGCGCCAAGGCGTGTGGGAGGGATGGCTGTTCACAAAGGCGGAGAGTTGTGGAGTGCAGCTGACATACATACATACATACATACATACATACATACATACATACATACATACATACATACATACATACATACATACTTCGGCCCCCGGCTCTCGCGGCCCACAGTGTAATCTAAGTCATACATACATACATACATACATACATACATACATACATCCCGGGATCGATACCCATTAGGGTCAAAGTCCTTCCGATGGTGGAAGGCATTGTGCCCCTAGTTGATGGACGGTGGTGACCTGGGATAAAGTTAACCTGCGAGCCGACCAGGAACGGAGTTGGGCCGCTGTCGACCCGGCAGATTCCGTTGGATGCTGGTGGTGGGTGCGGAACCTGAGCGATCCACTGAGAAGTTGACTAGGGTGACTGGATGAGGGTGCCCCGAAATACCGGGGAAGGCAGGGTTTCGCAGGGTAGCTGCCACGGGCGAAGATACACCCCCCTGTTTCACACATACATACATACATACATACATACATACATACATACATACATACATACATACATACATACATACATACATACATACATACATACATACATACACACCTATCATGCCAGCATTACCTTGGGTATGTAGCGAAAACTCACGATACCATCCACATAATGCCTTCCCCTGACGTTTCCAACTCCCCTTATGTAAACCCTCCCTGCATGTTAAACATCTTGAACATCTTGAACCTCTCCTCCGAAATCCGCATCCGGCTGCACTGATGTGCCTCAGGTTGGCGGCTACTGGACGGGTCGTGTGGAGTTGCCGCTGTTGGAGGGGCCCATCCAGGCCAAGGTAAGAGTTGGGAATGGAGGCAGGGGAGTAGAGGAACGAAGAGAGGGAGCGGAGCATAGGCCGCACGTATAGGGCAGACGTCGTATTTTATTTTTGTGTGTGTTACATGGTTGGGGGGTGCGTGACCCCATACCTGTTGTCACCTCTGTGTGCCCGACGTGACTGGCTTCTTGGAGCGTTTATGCAACTGCCCTGACTGCCCGTCGCGAATTCGTTCACAGAACCTGAGCTTCCATCTCCTTACGCCTTTTTAATAAACGATAGGTCGTCATTTGCAATGCCGACGGCTCCGCCGCTGTCTGGGAGCCTGGAACCGGCAACCGGGTGCTGGTGGCGCCGAAACCTTCACAACTGCCACAACCACCATCGTCTTCGCCCTCAGCCCCGACTTCCTCAGCCGCCTCTTCCATGATGCACATCTTTGTTTGCCGTTGGAGCCAGCCGGATCATACGGCGGTAGTGTCCGTATCGGTGGAGTACGAGCGGGCGGACAAGGAGTTCCTGAAGCAGATTGATGCGGCGCAGCGGGAGATTGGGCTTATGCGCCGGGTTAGTAAGGGAGAGGGAGAGGGAGATGGGCAGGTGTTTCCTAAATAAGGAAGGCTCCGGGATGGCTGTGGAAACTAACTTCTGAAAGCTTGCCGCAATCTTCGAAGGCTTCCGGAGAGTCCTGGAAGAAAGAGAGGGCATTTCAGGGTTTGCAATACAGATAGGAGGCGCGCGCAGTCACGCATGCCAGAGATTGTGAAACACGCAGCAGCACCCCCACCATTTCCGTTTTACACTATTACCATACGGTGGAGGTGTTCTGGGAGTATGGCCGTTTCACTTTCCCCACCACCATAACCTCTGCCTTTCCAAACCTTTACCACCACCATCATCATCATCATGTGCCACCTGCGCCTTTCCGAATGCCCCGCCACCACACTGCCACCCCTACTTTTCCGCCTTTGTGTGTATTTTATTTCTCTCCGCGCTTCAGGCCGTCACCGCCAAGTCCCGGCAGTGTCAATCCCTGGAGTCAGAACTGGCAGCCAGCCGCCGCGCTGAGAGGGCTCTGCGGGAAGAGGTCACCACCCTGCGGAACGACGTGGCCTTCATGATGAATGTGAGGACGTGTTAGAGATGGATGGGCGGGGATGGGAAATGGGGAAGGGGGCCCAGTGTGGGCGCGGTGCGCCCCAGGAAGACTAGTAGTATGTAATATATTGTTAACACCTCACAATGCCCTAAAATCTGCCCCTTGATCCTCACATTCTGTACGATATTCGTACAACAGGAAGTGGAGGTGGCGCTTCAGAGCGAGTTGGATGCCCGGCAGGAGGCCGCCGAGGTACGGCAGGAGACCACCAGGCTGCAGCAGGAGCTGCAGCAGCAGAGAGACAACTACGAGCGCCAGGTGAGGGCCGGGTGCGTGGGCGCGGATGGATGGGCGGGGGGCCGGGCGGGGGCGAGGGGGGGGGAGTAAGCGGGAAACTGGCAGGTAGGTGAGTGGGCGAGTAAACGATACGTGGGATGATCTGAAGGACGAATGACGGGACGGGACGAGGGTAATCGAGCCGGCAAGTAAACGAGCCGAGGGCCATGCATACGTGCAGGGTTGGAGGGGCGGATATTGACGTATTGCCTTCCGCCTTCTTTCATCAGTCCTCCATTTGGTCCGTCCTACGCGTGTGTGTGTGTATGTGTGTTTTACTGTTACCTACCTTGCTGTTATCTTTTAGGAGGCAGAGAAGCGGGCAGAGTGCCATACTTGGAACATCTCACCTCATCTCACCCCAAAGCCACCGCACTTGCTGCTCCGCCCGTCAATTCCCAATCCATTTGCAGATCTTGTTCCTGGAATCCAAGCTTGATGAGATGGAGGAGGACGTCATGGCCCTGCAGCAACAACTTGCAGAAGCTACAGTTGCCTCCAACAATACTTCCTCCCACGACCAGAGGTTCTCATCCTGGTCCTCCCACTCGTCGTACGGCAGGGAGGAGGCACCACAGGTGTTCAGTCGCTCGAAGTGGCGCTAAGGGCCCTGTCTGAGCGTGCGGTGTGTCTGTCTGTATGTGTGTCAGTATGTGTGTATCTGTATGTTTCTGTTACACATCGATCCGGGCCTAACGCTGGCCAGGGGCACCTAACCATGTAAATGTGTGATAGGTGGATGGGCGCGTTTGGGGTTTTGTTTCTGCCGTGGTTCATTCTTAGGTTCGCCGTCAGGCAGGTTGTGTCTTTTTGAAAGTTCGGGATTTGATTATTGGGACTGCGTTGCGCCTCCGTTGCTTTGTATCGTTCAAACCCTGTGCCAATGCCATCCACCGGCCGGCATGCTCTTAGATACGTCTATGGACGACTGCTGCAACCCAGCTGGATTTCCTTTTCGAGTCCTGGCTGGTTCCCGCCTTCTGGCGTTCCCCTTGATTCGTGTGCTGGATCCATTTGCTCTTGGATTCCATTTAGTTCCAAGTTTGGGAATTTTTTTCGAGGTGCGGCTGGGGTGCGGCTGCTGCAACGCTGCAACGGCATTCTTTGTTGCCGACACTGCTCAAGGAGCGTCCAAGTCTGCGGTGCAGATTCTCTTTCCTTTTGAGGAAAGAGAATCAGCAAGTTAACTTTGATTGCCGTACTCCGTTTTGCCGCTTTCCGAGCTGGTTTTCCGAGTCTTGGTTCATTCCGAATACAATTTTGTGCACGAGTTTAAGAGTACGCGTGTTTTTGTGTGTTGTCCTTGACAAGAGGCAGGCCACCGCTAGCGGGAGGCCTCACCTCTTTCTCCCGGAAGTCCTTTCGTTTAGCTGCCATTCGAGACCTCCTGATAACTATCAGGCACAAATACACAATTTGCCCTGCCTTTTGGCGTCATGGCAAGAAGTTAGGACCGGAAAGGAGGAGATCCCCACCATGCTCCGTGGGCCATTTGGGGGTTCAGTTTTTTCTGTTTTCTTTTGCGTGTTTTGTCCGGTTACTTACAGGTTCTCAGCCAGGGGCCGTAACTTCCTATCAAGTCGAGGTTTTCGGCACACGGGTTAGGGTTTGTGCGGATGTGTTTCCTGCCCTCAGACAAGCTTCGCGGGCGAGGCGCAGACAGGAGGTTTTTTACCATCCGTAAAGTGCTCATCGAAGAGTGTTGGTACGGCCTAAAGCCTTAGCATGCCGGGAGAAGATTTGAGCTAGGGGGTGATGGACAATCGGCTGCAGGGCAGCAGCAGGCAGGGTGCGGGAGCCTGTGGCTTTTTCGGGGACCCCGATGGCGGGGGAGTTCGGATGTGCGATAGTATTGAATTTGTTGCTTTGCTCACAAGGGAGCGAGCTCTAATGAACTAAAAGAAAAGTAAGCGAGTTGAGTTGCATGCATGCATGTTGCTCTGTGCGTCCTGGCTCTGCCGGTGCTCATGTTCCCCTCCTTTGTGCGCTTGCTTGGACCGTATCTATTCCGAGTGGTGTCTTGACTGGCAGGGGAACTTAAGAAGCTTGTGCTCCGGCCCTGTGGCTTGGGCCTAGGGAAGTTGCAGGGCCACCGGCCGGAGGAGGATTATGATGAGAAGTAAGGTGGGCTAGTGCGTATCGGCTCAAAGCACGCTTGGGTGCAATGTGGCTTCCGCTGCTTTGCCGACTTCCATTCGACCGCCGTGTCGTACAACGGGGTTGCAAGGTATTCTTTCGTTGCAGTACAACTAAATAATTTCTAGCTGCCGCAGCACTATTGAATCTAACCTGCAAAAAAAACTGCTGCGAGAGTTTTCTTTGGGCTAATCTTCCAACATTTTGCTCTTTCTTTGGGTTGAAACTGGAGTTTCAAATTTTATGGTTGTGGATTGTATGCATGATTCGGGGATGGGATGTTTAATTGCTGTTTTTGATACAGTCCGTATCAGCAACCGCCGCAGCAGTAGGTAATTGCCGAATTCGCCATTCGCATATGTGTAGCTTTTTTGATGCGTCCCTGTATGTCTATCTGTTTGTCTGTCGTGCGATCCAGGTGTGTGGGTGATATTTCGTACCACAAGGTCCCGAGGGTCTTCGCATGCATGCTGCAATGTCCAACCAACCGTGTTGCGCGTGTGGTGCGTGCGTACTCCACTATCCATCTGGCATGGAAAGAGCCGAGTAGAGGTCGGTGGTCGCTCTCAGCTCGGGGGAGGCGCGCGTGCTAGCAGCGAGTTATTGAGTTGTGTGCACCGTGACGACGCGCAGCAGTGTCGTGCGCTTGCTTACTATGTGTATGTTGTGTTTAATTATTGGCTGCTAGTCTTTGCAAAGGTATTGAAAGAACTCTAAAATAATAAATATTGCTCATAAGCATGTGATGAATTGTTTCTGGATTTGCCTGCTTGCTTGCTTTACAACACAGTATGCCCAAGGACAGTCCAAACAGTTACATTGCAAAACAGCGGACTAGACATGCATAAATATTATGAATATGCACACTGGATTATAAATTAACTTCATCTCCCGTCGGTGTACAACTCCAACCATCAGTAACCTTCGTTACTTAACCAAACGGTACGGCGAGGGTTCTGGCGGAAAGATAGACAAAACCCTTCGTTCCCATGCAAATGTATGCCTGTGACCGCCTACATGTATACATTAGCACCAAATTTTGCCGAGAGGTGGGAAAGCTGTAGGCGCTGCACGCAATCCATGAGGACGGGCCACAGTGCATCCAGCCAGCCATATAGACTGATGTACCACTTATATGTCCAGCTTGTCATATACATGTATAACTTAATATATCCAACTTATCGCACATTACGAGATGTACACAAACATGCATAGCATATCCGCATCACCGATATGATGAAAGTACACCTAACCACCTGGCTACTAAACGAAAGTAGCAGATGAACATCCTGCTGAACATCGATATCCCAGCATGGCAGCACCTTCATCCGCCTATCCGTATGTATGTACGTATGCATACGTACATACAAACACACGTTTTGGTAATAAAAAAACATCACATACCGATTGCAATAAGGCGTCATTCCTTGAGTAGCATTCATTCTCTATCTCGCACAACCAGGTCTACCTGTAACAAGGTTAGGCAGGTCAGGTCAGGTCAGGCACTACTGGTAGAGTACGCACAAATGCGCCGGGATCGAGACCTGTCAAGATCGAAAATCCTTTCGATGGTGGAAGGTTAAATGCTCCTAGTTAATGAACGGTGGTGACCTGGGATAAAGTTAACTTGCGAGCCGATCAGGAATGGAATTTATCCGCCGTAGATCCGGTAGATCCTGTTCGATGCCGGTGGTGGGCGCGGAACCTGAGCGATCCACTGAGAAGTTGACAAGGGTGACTAGATGAGGGTGCCCCGAAATACCGGGGAAGACAGGGTTTCGCCAGATAGCGGCCACGGGTGAAGATATGCCCCCCTTGCCCCACACATCAACAAGGGAAGTGAACATGCATGTGATTATGAAATGGTTCATTGTAACACAGCAAAGGCGCAACCCGAGATTCTCAGATTGGCTTTTTGCGTCGTTACATTCATGCTGGTGAAGGAACATGCTTAAGCTTGTGCTCCTCGAAGAACTGATCAGCAACGTAGGACCCTTTCGTGTGTTCAAAGCTGAAATTGAACATGAAGAACTGTTCCTTCCGCACAAATATCTGCCATGCCATGGTAATCACGGCCTGCTCATTCCAACGCTGGTCGACGACGCCTCCACTAGCGACGCACAGGTGCACGAAGCGATTCACCTGGAAGCAATCAGTGTAGCATGTAAATGTGCGATGTGGCAAATTTTAAAATTAAAATGAGGGAGAGTGGATCTCAGCAGGTAGGGGTTTTGGGGGGTACTAATGCTGCGGCCCTCCTCAGCCTTGGTAAGGAAATATAGATGCTTATGGATATGAGAAAGGCTGCTGTTCGGTTGGGCAAGGCTAAACAATAAGCTGGTGCACCTTTCCAGCACTACCTAAGCACATGTCCAGGCATCGACTAAATTCAGACTCTAACAATTCCATTGATGTCAGCGCACGGCATCTCACCGCCTAAATATCTAAGGACCAGTTGCTCGCTACATAACTCACATCAGCCAATCAACAAGTGAGCGGGTAATTAATGTGATTAGCATTTAGACCTAACAATTGTATCCCACGTGTCAGCTTTCCTGGCAGTCTGCAGTGGCCTGGCGCTGGTCCATGGTTGATTTTGCAAAGTAGGGATGGTGTAGCTTCACCCGTGGCCACTAGCTAGCCTGGCAGTCCCTACCTTCCCCACTGTTTCGGGGGCAACCTCATTCTCATTCTCACCCATGCTGACCTCTGCAAATTCAGTGAATCTTTCGAGTTCAGCACCTACCACCAGCATCCAGTGGAATTTGCTGGATCAATGGCGGCGTCAGACTCCACTCAAGGTCTGCTTGCAGGTCACTAAAACTAGGTCCATCACCGTTCACCGGCATGGGGGTGCATCCACCCTCTTACGGCCGAGGAATTCTTATCCCGCTCTTTATCGGAATTGATCCACGGTTGTTTGCCTGGTCCAATTGGCCATGTTTTTCCTGATGACCAATAACTTGTGTAATCACGACGGTTGGAACCTCTAGCGATACGGATTGCTACAGAATTATATGTAGGATCACGTGCGCATACATAATGTGTAGTACGACACACCTGTGCCGTTTTTGCGTGCACGCATCGTCCTGTACATACGCGCTGATATGCTTTGCCAGCACCTCGAGATGCCTTTTCGGCGGCCAGCGTCTACATAATGTCGCGTTTGTTTGCGAAATTCCATACTAATTCATAATAAGGCGGGCTAATAAGCGAGCCTCGTGGCTCTATTACGGCTACGGTTGGAACATTTTTGTCCCTGCTGGCTTAACTTCTGGCCAACGGCTGGAGGCGTTTCCGTCTGAGAATATGAGCTGGAACAGCACATCCACGGATGCCCCCGTACTGGAACAGCAGTATATCTAAGAATTCTACACCGCCGAATCATTGTGTATATGTGTTATACACCTCCAAGGATATATACTCTATTATCCAAGAATATATACATAGTATGCATGCATGTATATATACATAGATACGTGTATATGTGTATCGGGTTTTCACAGCTATGATGTACAGCCGCCCGATACGAAACAGAGCGGAGCTGATAAATTAAACATCAGCGAATATAAGGTTTCTCACGCAGTTGCATGCACCTCATCTATTGTACAGTATGAAATGCACAAAATCGCGACCAGGGAACTGACTTTGAGCGTCCCTCACTGTCCTGCAGTTGGTTTCGGAGGTAGTGTGCGCATTGGTGTCCTCTTCTAGGGTAGGCTAATAATCCTCATCCTTTGCAGTGTTCTCATTGGCATCTCATTCCGATGTCTTAATCCTAATTGTGGTTTCTCAAAAACCAAGGTTTGGGTCCCTAATCTAACCTAACCCTGCCAACAGGTGGGTACCAATCCCAATGCTGTGGCTGCGTGGCGTTCCGATCTTAATCCTGCAACCAGCGCACTCATCCCAATCCTTACGCACAACCCACAACGCATACCCGTGCCCCCTCTCACCTAATCCTAGGTTTCCGCCTGACCGGTGCGGTGACCCCAATCCCTAATCTTTGCAACTCTCCTGTTGTGCCGTATCCTTTGAACACTCACCAAGGGGCTGAACCACCAGTCCAGGTTCCACATGACCAAGTTGGTGAAGATGACCAACCGATCCCAACCGCCCTCTGTGGGCTGATGAAGCTCTTGCAGCGCAAGCAGGTCCTCAGGGGGAGTCTCCTGCATATGTAAGATGGGAAAGAAACTGTAGTCTACCTAACCTGCTGCATTCTTCTATAGTGTACATGTAACGGCTTTATTGCGCATCAAATCCTGTATAAAAAAGAAGGCTTGAAGTCGTGCACCTAAAAAATGTTGTCTGTTTGACGGAAAATAAAGCTAACTAAAGCCTTTGGCGATAGTCCGCACCGACCGGCCGGCCGCGGCTATAGCCAGGTGATGTTTATAGTCGAGATCGGCTATAGCTGAACTACCGGTTCGGGTTGACAAATAGGCGATTCGAGCTGCAGGAGGTGCTATAGTCCACCAGAAAAAATACAGACGTGACCGCAATTTGCTGCGATTTCCGCGATGTTGAAGTACCAACGTGCGGTTCGAGCAAAGCATGGACGGAACTTGGCGGTGGACGGGGACCAAAGAACGAGTACAAAGAAATATCTTTGTCTTTGTCTCGTACTGCTGTTTTAAAACAGCATGGGCGGATTAACCTTGACCCAACATGAGTATCACCCGTGCTGCCAGCAGCGTCCAAACATATGTGTTGTGCGTGGCAGGTTCAATGTGCACAATCCTTTCCTGATTTGCAAAGCAGGATGGTCATAGGTAGGGTTGCCTATAGCTATGCTGACACTGCTGCACAACCTCAGGGCGATGTTTCCTTTACTTACAGAATTGTTCGTGTGCGACACATCATCTAATGAGTACAGCCCCGTCAAGTTAGGCGGATTGCAGTGCTCGAAGAGTGTGGCCGGTACAACTTTGTGGGTGACTAGGTAGTAGCGCACAAGCTCCGGGAGGCCCCAGGTGACCCATGGGATGTCATGCACAATATTCCGGGCCGCCATCAAGTAACCTTGCTTGTCGAATGTCTCCACGATGTTGAAGCCAACTGGACTCCGGATAAAGGCATCATCATCGAGCAGCATCATGTACCTGCAATTAACAAATATACAAGTATGCATTACTTGCCTTCTATCGTTCGTGTTTGAAATATGTATGTACATACGAATTATATCCTGTTAAATAAGCACACGTACTTTATGGGCTCTGCCATGGTGGCGGAAGGTGCAAAGGCCCGTAGGTGCTAGGCCCATTTGGGCCCATAGGCTATGGGCCATAGCCTCACCAAATCCCCCCTCAATAACACATGCTTTACTTCAGGCTGCGGCGTACGCTTTTTACTATTATAGCTCCTCCATAATATCCATAAATGATGGCAGCACACGCGCGCAAAAAAGGGAGCAAACTACAGGAGCAGCTAGATTGCGAGCCCAGCTCAGCCCAGGATCACATACCCACCTATGGCCCATGTCTCGGGCAAAGGCCGGGGCATAGGTTAATCGCCAGACTCCCGCAAGCCTGTAGTTAGTGTTAAATAACGTCGCGTGCCAGTACCGCTGGTTGGTTGAAAAAGGGTGAACCCGCCAGCTGGCCTCCGAAAGCGGCAACACCAGAATGTTGGGCAGCAGCCATTCCCCGAGTTGTTGCTTCAGAACTTCGACCTGAATGGGCATGAAAGAAAATGAGTGGTATACATGCAGAAGTAAAATAACCATAGCGAGCATGGCGCCATGCTACGCCTGTATCATATACAGATCTCCTTTTGCTTTCGTACGATAAAATTATTTGTTACAGGGTGGGAGGCCGCCCGTTAAGCGGCTTCTGGCCCGATCGCACACATTGCGCTGATCTAGAAATCTACCACAGAGGACCATACAACATTACTACACATTGTAGTACGCCATAGAAGCTTGAAAGTGAAAGTCGAAGGCTATTGATTTTGCCTTCCAGAATTTTCTTCATCCAGTACCCGAACGTCCAAAAGGACAGGGGGTTCAGCAATCGCTACCAATCGTGCATGTGAACTTTGATCCATCAACTGTGATCTCATTCCACATCTGAAAGTATAGCCATAAACTCACGCTCCCAACAATATCGGAGGTCCACAGAAGGATCAAATCTAAGACCTTTAACCGCTTGTCAAAGCAGCGTCATTAGGAAAGCTCCCACAAGCGTATGTTAGTTTTCCCCAATGGAAACAGGCGGGGATGTAGCAGCTGACCGCTGAAAAGGTCTCTCGAGTTGCTGGCGGTCGCACTCTGTGCGTATTTATAGCACCGTACTGTGTACCGGCTGCTACATTCCCCCCCCTTTGAAGGGAACCGTCCCGGGCCCTTAGAGCCTCGTATACCGCCAGCCTGTGCCTACCTTCGCCTACCCTCGGGCAGTGGGTACTTACTCCACGTCACGTCATGTGCCGGCTCACATGCGCCTAGCCGTCTTCAGGTTTTTCAGGCACAGAGACAGTCCAGTCGGTTCCGCTACTTTTATAATTTGTGCGATATTCGCTCTCTGAGTCGCCAGACCCGATTTCTACTCAAGCGTGATTGGAGGGGTTTGAACCGACGACTTCAGGATCGTGAATTTTCACGAGGTCTCGATACCAAATGTAGCAGCTGACCGCTGAAAAGGTCTCTCGAGTTGCTGGCGGTCGCACTCTGTGCGTATTTATAGCACCGTACTGTGTACCGGCTGCTACAGGGGAAGTGTTATACCACGACTTCAGAAAAGTACCGGTGGGCAGATGCAGACCCCGTGATATGCCCAGAATACTGCAGGAAGAGCCTTCGTGATCTGGCTCAAACGACTCACATTGCGAAGGTGAGGAGCCGTGTACCGGCTTTGCACCGGGTGCAGTCCTAGGGTTTTGGGGTTTAGCTATACGGACGACCCGCTGCCGGTATGAACTTGGAAAGATGAATTGATGAGTTCTTTTAAGCAGAAAAAGGCTCGACCCTGATGATGCAGCCACTCGCCCCGTACTATTCCGCGGGGCGAGCCGCAGCTACCCTTCACCCGCAGAAAGGCCACAACGAAGGGTGTCCGCCAGGTCGGCCGTCATGCCGCGGTTGTTGCTGCTGTGGTGGTGGTGGGTGGTGGGGATGCAATTCCGGTGCAGCTGTGGGATCACTCTGGGGGCTTCCGGCAATGGAGCCCCGTCGCCACGTCCATCACCGTGATCGCACGGGTGTATGTGACGTCCGCCTCTATTGGGTCGTATTTGGGCCGGATGTGACGGCCGGCGGCCTGAGAATCGTATACTACCCAGCTCTAAAGACCTGTTAAAGTGCCAATATATACTACTTATAAGTTTTCTAACGGAGTGTAACGGAGCGTTAGAAAACTAAGGTTTCCTGTGAATTTGAAGTGGATTCTGTACGGCCTGGTGGCGTGCCTGTCGTTGTGTCGCTGTGAGCGATGGTGCTGGTTAATGCGTGTTCTGTGTAGAGCTACGTTTGCGTGTTGCCCTGCAGCGGTTGGTCTTTAGGCCCTGTTTTGTCTCTTCCGGGTGGTGTGCCCGCACCCGGCCCTATCGTAACATAAATCCTATCCTTCATGGCTTGCAGGTCTTTTTTCAGTTCGTAACGGCGACTTCGCATGAATACCCCCAGAACGGTCCAGACCGCGGACTGCCGGCCACATTCATCGCAAGCACACTAGCCTTCTGGCAATGTTGAAACCGAGAAGATGGCCACGGTGAACATCGGCGGCGGACCATTGCTGCAGTGCGGTTTGCCATTGTTACCTATGAATTAAATCATGCAAAACGGAATATGCACATTGCTGGCTGCTGTTGGCTATACCATGAGAAGCGGCGCCGCGAGCGGTGGGGCATGTCAAACCCCTGGATGGCCCCCGGCCGGGAAGCTATTTTGGCGCATAGATTTATGTGACCTAATTCCTTCGGTGAATGTATAGAGACTGGAAGTAGCTATTAAATGCAATCCTATTTAATTGTGGCATGCGAGTTTATCATGAGACACGCACGACGCTGAATGGCTGACTCACTGACAGCAGTGAACCCAGGGGGCCTCGGCCCCCTGAAAGGCGTGTCACGCCCGGGGCCTCACCGAAAGAAAGGCGTTGGAGAGCATGCAATTAGCGTCCGTCCAGTCGCGCTTCCGACGCTTAGTGTCGATAAAAACAAGAAATGATCATGTCCAACATGTCGAGAAGGAGTCCTTCATGTATCATACGCGTATGGAACTCGCTAGTGACATATCGAGGTAGACAGGTGAAGAAGAAGCTGTGAAGTATGACACGGGACGCTGAATCCGTGTTTCATCGTGTGATCGCCGCATAAGTTGCAGAGATGACTTGGAACCCACAAAGTGAGAGACAAACGAACTAGGAGTCTGAAATCACGGCTAGCATGCAGTACCCGGAGCCGTTGAGGAAGATTAAGTTGCTTGGAAAGCCGTTATAGCCCTCGATGCACCATCCACGACAAGCTATGTTGATAGGGGAGCCGTGGTTGCTGTGTATCAATCAGGTTTTATAAGTGTCTTTTGTATATGTTAAGTGCATACATGTATGTATATACGTGTGTGCTTGTGCGTGGCGTGTATGTACATGTAGTACGACTAGTAGCGGGCCGCTGAAAAGGCCTCTCGAGTTGCTGGCGGAGCGCTTAGCACGTATTTGTGATTGTCATGTGTATCGTACTGTGTACCAGCTACTATAGTATATGTATGTGTGCACATGTGCGTGCGTGCATGCACGTGTGTCTCTGTGTGTATCACGTTACTGTACGTCTGTTTTCGTTAATGACCTAAGCCACCGCGTGTTTCGCGTGTGCATATATGCACCCGTAATAGCCTCTCAAAGTGAGTATGTAGCCTGTCCTTACAACCGCACCGCACCGCCAATATTCCAGCCCCGCACCTGTCCAACCTGCCTGATCGATGCGCAATTAGGAATGTGTGTGTTATGCAGTCCGAATTCGTGACCTGTGTTATCCGTGCGCTTCCACTTCTGCTAAGCAAGCGTCCCATATCCCCCTTAGAGGCGCGGAGGAGGGGCATGCGTCGTTCATCTATTGTTAAGCGAGGGCCTCACGTTACTTTGGTTTCGGAGCACAATTTCAGGCCTGCGGGACCCCTTTGGCAGTTGTACGTTGCTGGTTGCTATGTAAGCGCTCCGGCCCTTTCCTAGTCAGTCCCAGTCCTCGTCCCAGTCCCAGTTCCTGTGAACCTATTTGTTAACCCCTTGCTAGCTAGGCTGTAACACGCAAGGTACCAAGCACCGGTGCTGCTACACAGTAGTCCCATGTCTCTGGTCCAGCCCGACAGGATTCTGCCTTGGCTGTGTTGTTTGCGTGTGTATGCATGCCTGCTAAAGATCAGGCTGCGTTATGAATTATTCGCGACCTGCTGCTGTGTGTGGCCGAGGTTGCGCTGTATGTAGGACACACGCAATTGCACGCATATGCCCTGAAGGTTCGGGCTCTGCAACTCGGGCTAACCTAACGAGCCATAGCGGCCACTGAGGGATTTGAACACTACGCGATGTTGCGATTCCTCGGCGGTTTGCAGCATTGAAATACGCTGTCCCGCCCCGCGCTCATTAGTCGTGAACGGACCTTGCTTTAGATCATGAATTCGTTCTGTGCTCCTGTCTCCCTTTACATGTTATCGCATCGTGCCGTGAGAGAGCGCGGGGACCATCTGCCGACGGCCCTCCGATCGCTTTGCTCCGTCGCATTTAATTCAGCTAATTTCTTGCATGGCCAACCAAATGCGTAACTTCGCTTTAAAGAATGTTCAATCAGAAACTTACTTGATCTGCTTGCGTAAAAATGTAAACCGTTGTAGGTGTGGTGGGAAAAAGGTTCTCCGAGCACAAACCCATGGACGCCCGCAACAAGTAGACTCGACCTTTGCATCCCTTTGTCAGTTTACAACCATCATTGTATCTAAGTTGTACTCTATTCGAACTGGAATGTCCAAAAATATATTTACTGCTTTAGCAAGGCGGATTACAAACTTTAACACGACTTACCATAGTGAGACGCATCTCCAGCGAAGATAACAACTATAGCTAATCTGTCTCTATTTCGTATGGTCCCGTCAGGTCCAAGCTGCTGCTGTGCGATAGCTCTTGCCGGGTCGTCGTCCGTATCAGGAAGCTGCCGCCGAGAGACTTTTCCTTCATGGATGTCATAATTAAATCCAGTATGTTCACAGATGCAAATACTTGAGAGCGTTACACATCCGGCAATGAAGATAAGGCGCAAGGACTGTACGTAATTGACAACGTGCAAACTTTTTAGCATCGTTACTTATGCCCGCTGACCGCTCAATATCAGTAGACACAGGAGGGGCTTGTTAGGACTACAACTGCCTGACTATGGCTGGTTTCAAAACAAATTGCGGGATGCGAGGTGAAGTGCACTCTTGCGTACGGCTAAAGTCGCAACTCGCAACTCGCAAGGAACTCGCAAAATTTCGCCCGTTTTTTATGATAACGCAAATACATACGTGAACCACGCCTGTAGGGTGTAAACACTGCGCATTTGTGGCTTCCGTGTCTGCCGGCTATTGCCGGTCGCAAACGCAAATATGCCGGAGTGGCTTGCGGCCTATGTGGCTTCGTCTGTTAGAGCAATGCAATTTAGCTGTTCATACGCACAAGCTCCTCAGGCCTCATTTGGTAACAACGTGCAACTTCTTATCAGTATTTGCTGATGGTCCTTCTAGTGGGGTTCCGAAGACTTTCGCCAATTGGGGGAGCCCAATGGCAGATTCCCCAGTGGTTGCGGGTTCTGAGCTTTCCCTTTTGGATTTGCTTTTGGCTGTCTAGGTGACTTGCGTTACCTGGAGTTCTGTTTGGCCTCATCGTATCAGGTCCAGTGCATGGCAGCTGGCCCTCTAGCTCGACTCTCTGTGAGTCTAAGCCCACTGTAACAACCACATTGCCTCGAGGCATCCCTAGCCCCGACGGTGAACTGATAGGTGCTAGCCTAGTCCGTGCCCCCCCCTGGTGTGCGCTCCATGGTGGCTAGCACCAGTCTCTTGAACCCTGCCCGCTTCCCCCCAACGGAGAATCGTGAGGGGCCGCGTGCCTGAATAGGGAGGGGTAGGTTACGTGCAAGATTTCGGGGTTTCGTCGGTCTTGGTGAACCTAAGTCAACCCTCACCCCAAGAGCCAGATCAGGCCGGGCATGGAGAGGTGTCTTGTTGTGCACAAGCTCGCTTGACGGAGCCTGACGCATGTTCGGCGCCTCGCAACCCCGGGGGAGGAGAGCGGAACTAGCGGACCCGCGGCTCTCGGCTGCTTGGGCGGGGACTCCCTCCCTCCCTCCCACCCTCCCTGACTCCCTCCCTCCCTCCCTCCCTCCCTCCCTCCCTCCCTCCCTCCCTCCCTCCCTCCCTCCCTCCCTCCCTCCCTCCCTCCCTCCCTCACTCACTCACTCCCTCACTCCCTCACTCCCTCACTCACTCACTCACTCACTCACTCACTCACTCACTCACTCACTCACTCACTCACTCACTCACTCACTCACTCACTCACTCACTCACTCACTCACTCACTCACTCACTCACTCACTCACTCACTCACTCACTCACTCACTCACTCACTCACTCACTCACTCGCAAGCTCGCGGTATGCCAGGTGAGACGATTCCCCTGCCCCGTATGCCCTGGTGAAAACCTTCTTGCGGACATAACCCAGCTCAAACAATGCACGGCGAATATCAGGGACGTTCCAATGAGTGACCAGTAAGTTTGCCATAGCTAAGGCCAGGCTAGGCCTGCACCAGCTCCACAAGCGGCTGTGCAGCGAATTCATCAAACTTGCGTGGTTAGCGTGTTCCTGTTTGTCCTCTAGGCGGCAGGACATCGCCATTCGCTAGGTAGGACTGTTCGTGCACTTGTTTGCTGTATTAATATCGGTTCAACATTTCTCCCATTGTAAGGCCCGCCCTAGAGGCGCGTAAAACTGAGTCACGTATGTATTCGCTGTATTCGCGTAAATGTATGTTGCGTTTAATTATTGCCCTAAAGCACTGATTGGGTCAGTAACCCATGGGTAACCCATGGGTAACCCATCTTCAACCCCCGGTAGCCCTTTGGTAACCCCCTTGTAAGTTCCTACCCAGCGGGAGGGGTAACACGGCCCCAGGGTAAAACCCTCCGTTGCCCTGGACTATGGACATATGGGCTACTCGTCTTATATGCTTCCCACATCGTAAATTCCGCTTAAGGATACATTTAAAAATGTAAACGTTAGCAACTGTTGTATTCCGCTTCTTAAATCTGGGCCCAAACTGATACATTTTTTTGTCTAAATTTTCCTTTCTCGCTTGGCGCGGTTGCTGGACAAGTTCGCTGGAAGTAACTGAATTTCAACTGCCTATTTTGCCGCTTTTCTGTCAGATCTTTATGGCTCCGACCTCTGGGTCAGACGGCGAGCGGGACGCTGTCATGGATGCCTACAAGTAAACGCCGCCTCAGGCGGAAGTCCATACTTGCAGAAGTATGGGCGGGGGTCGTAGCACAGGCTACGACTGGGACGCTGGTCCCTGGCTCGCGGAGCCCCGTCATCGATTGGAAGCATGGATCAAGGGTACGCCATTCCGGGACTGGACCGCGCCTTTTCGGAACTGGCTGTACGATTCATGGGATGGCTGCATCCTCCGCTATTTAAGCGGGCGAAACTCTTCCAATCGGTGTCTTCCGACGCCACCATCCAGTTGTGGTTTAGTAAGATATAACAGCAACCTACAGTATCGTGGTATCTCGGGAAGCATCGTTCGCCACTTCAAACTTAAGGTCTCTAATGCTGCAGCTGGCATCACACACGCAAGGAATAAGCAATAAGTACCTATCTCTTGGCCTGTTTGGCTGCTGTAAAAGGAGAGCTTGTAGATGAGTACAGGAGAAGGCGCGAATGCTGGCAGCACACACGCAAGTCGACGACAGGTCTTCACTAAATGGATGCCTTTGGTTGTCATCCATTGTTATATAATAGTTCTCATTGTGAAAGCATCAGGCAATCAGTCCTGAGGTCGGCCGACATATTAGGTTAGGTTACCCACCTCCCTTCATACATAGCCACATGGGTAACCCTACCAAAATGGAAGCATGCTAAAGAACGTTCCTGAGAACGCTAAGAATGCTAAGAACGGCTTGAGAATGCTGGCGCTGCTGAGAACGTTCTTATGCCAGTCTCAAGCATTCTTATGACGGTTTTACGCAAAGAATGGCTTTGAGAATGCAACGGTGCGGAAAACTTAGCAGAAACACGCACAAGTTACAGTGGTTTGCCCCTTCCATAGTTCAAGCAGGAAACAGAGAGTCAGTCCTGTATTCTGAAATAAGTTCATAGTGCTGAAATCATCCACAAGACCGACCATGAGGGCCCCTACAGCTCTGGACCGAGCGGGTAAGGCCCTTCGAAAACTGGCTGGCACCAGGAAGTCGCCCCAGTATACAAGCGAAGCAGACGTGCCCCAACAATCAACTATCCAACGAAGGATTTAGTCAGTCAACGTATGGAACGGGCCCCAAGCAATTTCTGTCGATTTGCATAGTAATGTGCCACTCCCATTACCTATTACTTCACCAATACGTCCCTGTGCACAACATTCATTCGGTTATCCATCAGCCGTACCATCAGCCGTACCTTCATTGAGAAGCCCCGCCCAGGCCACGGTCCGACCATTCGAGGGCCTGGGCGACCATGCCCACCAGTCCCCACGATTTGCCCTCCACTCCACCAATGTGTTACTAACGATTGCCCCTCAAGAGGGTTATAACCCCGACCCCTACGCCCTGGGTTACGCTTAAGGGGGGTTACCCCCCGTTTTATGCCATAGGGTTGGCTGCTAGTCTTTGCAAAGGTATTGAAAGAACCCTAAATTAATAAACATTGCTGAGGTATAATATTGATATATTGACGAAGTATTTATGCGGCTGTTTGGATTTGCCTGCTTGCTTGCTTCACAATCGAGTTGTTGTTGACTTTTGGGGCCGCCTTCGTGTTTTGCAGGTCTGGGAGTTCCACGGAAAGGTTGGGATTCTGTTGGGGCACATCAGCCCTTCTTGCGAATTGCGTCAGGCAAATTGTTATGCTCACGGGGCCGGTCACCAATGGACGATTAGCTAACATCTATTTTCTTGTATTCTCTTAATTGGAGGACTTTTGAGACTCAGGCCTCATTCAATAATGCTTGTGAGTCCTGAGCCCTCCCTTTGGTCGTGGTTTTGGCTGTCTAATTGACTTGCATTGCCACATCTGGGAGGCAATCTAGTTTGTATAATAGTCTCTAGCGCAGTGCACGGCCCGCTGGCCCGCTGGCTCGACTTTTCGTGAGTCTGGAGCCCACTGTATACAGTACAGTGTTACGTAACAACCACACAACCACACAACCACCCACCCACCCCCACCCCCCCACCCCCCACCCCCCACCCCCCACCCCACCCCCACACACACAACACCGTATGGCCAAGTACAGTCCAAACAATGCCAGTTACATTGCAAAGACAGCGGACTAGACATGTATAAATATATATGAATAAGCACACTGGATTATAAATTAACTTCATCTCCAGTCCGTGTACATCTCCAACCATCAGTAACCTTCGTTCCTTACCCAAGCGGACCTGCCTACTACGGTGAGGGGTTCTGGCGGAAAGATAGACAAAGCCCTTCGTTCCCATGCATATGTATGCCTGTGACCGCCTACATACATACATAAGCTCCGAATTTTGCCGGGAGGTGGGAAAGCTGTAGGCGCTGCACGCAATCCATGAGGACGGGTCGCAGTACATCGAGCCAGCCAGACGGACTGATGTACCACGTATATGTCTGTAGGTTTTCTGAGAGTAACGAAAGAAAACCAAGGTTTTCTGTGTATTTGCCGAGAGCGTACTCGGCTGTTCGTTGGTGGTACGGCGGGGCCGTACTGGTGAGAATGTAGGGCAAGTCGCGGAGAGCGCGACGGAAAGAGCAATTTCGCGAGTTAATATAGTCAGTACTGACAGGCTTCCACTGCGTCGTCTGCCCATTACACCGCCCCGCGGCAGATAGCGCAGTCGGTAACCAGGCTCGCCTCCTCCCACGGAAGCAAGCACACTCTTCTGCTCGCAGGTACCCAAGCTCGACTCACGTCTATAAGCGGTAAGGCAACTACTCATGAAAACCAACTTATCATATACATGTATAACTTAATATATCCAACTTATCGCACATTACGAGATGTACACAAACATGCACATTTTATTCACATCACTGATATTAAAGTACACCTAACCACCTGGCTATAGGTATAGCTACTTCATGAATAAACGAAACAGCAAATGCATCTGTTCATATGAACGTCTTGCTGAACATCCCAGCATGGCAGCACCTTCATCCGCCTATCCGTATGTATGTACGTATGCATGCATGCATACATACATACATACGTTGGTAATAAAAAAGCATCACATACTGATTGCAATAATGCGTCGATTACTTGAGTATAATTCATTCTCTAGAGAATGAATGCTACTGATGATAGATCTATCTCGCACAACCAGGTCTACAAGTAATAAGGGGGGTCAACATGCATGTCATCGTCAAATGGGTCATGCTGGTGAAGGAACATGCTTAAGCTTGTGCTCCTCGAAGAACTGATCAGCAATGTAGGACCCTTTCGTGTGTTCAAAGCTGAAATTGAACATGAAGAACTGTTCCTTCCGCACAAATATCTGCCATGCCATGGTAATCACGGCCTGCTCATTCCAACGCTGGTCGACGACACCTCCACTAGCGACGCACAGGTGCACGAAGCGATTCACCTGGAAGCAATCAGCGTAGCATGGCATGTGTGATGCGGCAAAATGAGGGAGAGTGGATCTCCGCAGATAGGGGTTTTGGGGGGTACTAATGCCGCGGCCCTCCTCGGCCTTGGTAATGAAAAAAGTTGCTTATGGATATGAGAAAGGCTGCTGTTCGGTTGGGCAAGGCTTAACATAAGCTGGTGCACCTTTCCAGCACTACCTAAGCACATGTCCAGGCATCGACTAAATTCGGACTCTAACAATTCCAATGGTATAGCTTCACCCGTGGCCACTAGCTAGCCTGGCAGTCCCTACCTTCCCCGGTGTTTCGTGGGCAACCTCATTCTCATTCTCACCCATGCTGACCTCTGCAAAGTAAGCGATTTTTTCGGGTTCAGCACTTACCACCAGCATCCAGTGGAATTTGCTGGATCAATGGCGGCGTCAAACTTCACTCAAGGTCTGCTTGCAGGTCACTATAACTAGGTCCATCACCATCCATTGACATGGGTTCGCATCCAAACTCTTGCGGTCTAGGGATTTTATCTCGCTTGGGACGCTATGCCGGCCGCAGCTTAGCATCTTTGCTGTGTCTGGAGCTGTATGTATGATGTGTGAAACAGGGGGGTATATCTTCACCCGTGGCAGCTACCCGGCGAAACCCTGCCTTCACCGGTATTTCGGGGCACCCTCATCTAGTCACCCTAGTTAACTTCTCTGTGGATCGCTCAGGTTCCGCACCCACCACCAGTATCCAACAGAATCTACCGGGTCGACAGCGGCCCAACTCCATTCCTGGTCTGCTCGCAGGCTAACTTTATCCCAGGTCACCACCGTCCATCAACTAGGGGCGCAACACCTTCCACCATCGGAAGGAATTTCGACCCTGACAGGTCTCGATCCCGAGATCTCCCGGGGGCATTGGTCGCGCGTTACCAGTAGTGCCAATAGTGCCTAACTTGTGAGACGAGGGCTGAGTAGGTACATGCACATTTACAGAAACCGGGTTAGTCACTATTACCACGGTGTCAGACACGACACCTAGCCCTGTTTAGAGCCTGTAATGTGTACAAGACGGATTTCCTGTGTAACGGGGGTAGCACACCTCGTTGTGCCGTATCCTTTGAACACTTACCAAGGGGCTGAACCACCAGTCCAGGTTCCACATGACCAAGTTGGTGAAGATGACCATCCGATCCCAACCGCCCTCTGTGGGCTGATGAAGCTCTTGCAGCGCAAGCAGGTCCTCAGGGGGAGCCTCCTGACTACGATTTGCTGCGATTTCCGCGATGTTGAAGTACTAACGTGCGGCTCGAGCCAAGCATGGACGAAAATTTGCAGCCCCGGGCAAGGAACGAGTACAAAGGAAACAACACGGGCGGATGATGTTAAGCTGTGGACCCGACATGAGTATCACCCGTGCTGCCAGCAGCGCCCAAACATATGTGTTGTGCGTGGCAGGTTCAATGTGCACATTCCTATCCAGATTTGCAAGGCAGGGTGGTCATAGATAGGATTGCCTATGCTAACACTGCTGCACAACCGGAGGGTCATGATGTTTTCCTTTACTTACAGAATCGCTCCACATCGTTGAGTACAGCCCCGTCAAATTAGGCGGATTGCAGTGCTCGAAGAGTGTGGCCGGTACAACTTTGTGGGTGACTAGGTAGTAGCGCACAAGCTCCGGGAGGCCCCAGGTGACCCATGGGATGTCATGCACAATATTCCGGGCCGCCATCAAGTAACCTTGCTTGTCGAATGTCTCCACGATGTTGAAGCCAACTGGACTCCGGATGAAGGCATCATCATCAAGCAGCATCATGTACCTGCAATTAACAAATATACAAGTATGCATTACTTGCTTTATATCGTTCGTGTTTGAAAAATGTATGCACATACGAATTATATCCTGTTAAATAAGCACACGTACTTTATGGGCTCTGCCATGGTGGCGGAAGGCACACACGAAAGACTGCTAAATAAGCAGACGTACGCGTACCCGCCACGGCTGCAGAAGGTGCAAAGGCCTAGGCCTATAGCTTCGCCACCCCGGCCCCGTAATAACACCCGCTTTACTTACTTCAGGCAGCGGCGTATTATTTTCACTATGATGAACCTCCCATAACATCCGGAAATGATAGTCGCGCACACGCACAAAAACAAGGGAGCAAGTCGAAGTAGCAGCTAGGTAGATTGGTTACCACATACCCACCTATGGCCCATATCTCTGGCAAAGGCAGGGGCATAGGTTAATCGCCAGGCTCCCACGAGTCTGTAGTTAGCATTAAAATAGTTCCTGGCGTGCCAGTACCGCTGGTTGGTTGAAAAAGGGTGAACCCGCCAGCTGGCCTCTGAAACCGGCAACACCAGAATGTTGGGCAGCAGCCACTCCCCGAGTTGTTGCTTCATAGCTTCGACCTGAATGGGCATGAAAGCATTTGGAGTGGTATACATGCATAAGTAAAAATAACCATAGCGAGCATGGCCCCATGCTACGCCTGGAAAATCCAATCATAGATCTCGGTTTGCTTCCATACAGGTGTGTGTTTTGTATGTGTGTTTTGTATGTGTTGTGCGTATATGCGCTGCACAACACATACAGCTGTATCTGTGTGCCTGTGCGTGCATGTTATAAGAAGGGATCAGCTCCCCCGGCATCTCCCTGAGTACTCTTTGCCTGCTGGTGTTACATTGGTGCGCGAATTGCTAGGAGGTGGGAACTCCCCGGATCGGATGCGATCCGGTTGCGAACATAGCGCACACCAGGCATGATGCAGCATACTCTTACCCCAAAGGTGGATGCCCGGGCGGGCGAGAAGTCTACCAGCTAGCTGAGTAAAAACAAAGGCCTCCATCTCAGACGGGGACTGACGAAATTCACAATATCAAACAAATGCACAATCCTATGGATCACAAATAACCAAAAATCCTACGGGATATGCCCGGGGGCGCCCGAGGACGTTCCCTCGAGGGGGGGGAGGAATGTAAGAAGGGATCAGCTCCCCTGGCATCTCCCTGTGTACTCTTTGCCTGGTGTTACACATGTACATGTGTGTGTATGAGAGAGAGCGATGTGTACATATATCTGTATATGTGTGCATGCATGTACACACGTGCGTATATTCATGCATGCATGCCTGTGTATATTGGTTTGTGTGTATGTGTGAAGGTTACAAGTATCTGACCAGGCCTGACACCACAGGCCAGGGGCTAGCCCGTACGGACACGGAGGCGGTTTAAAAAACTGTTTAGAATGTTTAAGCAGGACGAAAACGTCCGAGGAACATGGAGGAACATTTTTAATGCGCGCCAATCCACCGCTAATCCGTCTGAGTGTTTCATACGTCTGGATTAAGAAACGGATTGAAGTACGACATCTTCCATTCCGTGCATAAAATGCAAAAACGAGTATTGCCAGACATTTAAAAGACTATCGAGTATCAACATGAAGGCCTTGCAGCACCTTTGAACGACACCCACGGTGTGGTGCATAATGCCGAACAAGAACCACAAAGCTTCCACAGAACTAGGAACACCTATAGCCTTTATAAAGTTGTGAAACAGTTAACATGCCATGAAATTTCATGATGACCATCGACAAACATTTGTCCCGGTCTAATAATGTGAGACCTGTTAGCTGCTGCCCAGCCCCGACGTATGTGTGTGTATGTGTGTGTATGTATGTGCATGTGTGTATGTGTGTATGTTGAGCCTGAAACGTGAAGCAAGACTCCTCTCCATCTCCGGCCTGAGTGTGTGTTTCTGTTGCATATCGATCCGGGCCTGGTGTTGGCCAGGGGCTCCTAACTGTACCCCAACGGGAACAATGGCCGAAGCACTCCGTCATTGGAGGGGTGTTCTATCGGTCAGAGTCCTAACCTGTAGCAGCTGGCCGCTGAAAAGTCCCTCTCGAGCTGCTGGTCAAGTGCTTCACGCGTATTTGTAGTTGTTATGTGTGCCGTACTGCGTACCAGCTACTACATAATGTAACACACACACTACATAACCGTTATCCCTTATCAATCCAAAGTGCCGTCATCTGTTCGAATCCTCTCGCCAGCTAAATACACCAGCTCAGGTGCCAAGCAACTCCCATTACACCAAGCTGCGTGATCTACCAATGCACTCACACCGGTGCCAATCACCATCCTACCATCCTTCGGAATTCCACGGATGGTGGTTGGG